GAACACATCAAACCGAAAGAGGTTTACAAGAATGTCATGCTAATGGGGCTATGTTAGAATATTGGCATGACCAACTTATAGCCAGATATTAGAAGTGGAAAAATAAAAGCACTATTATGAGATCTCATGAATTATATGGGCGATTAACCATCCGAGCACAAAGAAGACATAATGTCACATTATTGACAGAAAAATTTGCACAACATCAATTAATTTTAAATTTACGTGAACAAATTTTATTGCTACAGAATAATCCACCTATAAATAACAATCAAACAAGTATGGTAGGATACGGACCCCCAATTTTTAATGGACATCCTGATGAAGATCCAGAAAATTGGCTTAGAGAATTTTGAAGATATATAGTGGCTAATAGAATAAATATTACTTCTGATGTTGAAGGAGCCGCTGGAAGAGCAAAGGTATTAGGGTTGGCAATATCATGTTTTGCTGGACCTGTATTGATTTGGTATGAAACTCGTGTTAAGGATAGGAACTGGAAATGTAATAATCTTTCAGATAATTTAGGAGTGGTTGACTTAAATGTTGTTCAAGCTTTGGTGGCTGGAAATAATAATAATTAGATTAATGGTTTAAATACAGCAGAAGAATTTCGTAATAAGGCTGCCACAGAAATTGATAGAATTGATGCAAAGGTTATAACCAGTACTGATATTATTCCAATAGGTACTTGGGAGGAAAATTGATCTATAGCTGGTAGCGAGCTAACAAATGATATACCAGTTGTACCAAATACTGGTGGAGGTTTTCCTGCTACTACTGCCTATATATACTTAAAACAAATGACAGTTTTTGGTCAACTTGTGCAAGGAAATATGACAGTTGAGCAATTTTCCGCTAGAATCAAAAAGATAAATAAACTTGCTAAAATAATCCCCAAACAATAAAGAGAGCAATTTATTCATGAATTATCTCTTATTAATCAATACAATATTCATATGATGGCCAAATTTAATGATATACAAAATAATATTGTAGAAGTATTGGCCAAAGCAAAAAAATTTACACTATCTCAAGCAAGT